CCCAAATTAGCCGACCTGAAAACTATGCTCCTGAGCTAGTTCGGTCAGCAAACTAATCCTCGTCAAAATTTACCTCGGAGACAGTTCAAGGTGTAACAAGCATTTGCAGCTACAGATACAGCTGAAATTCGGAATATACTTAGTTGATACAAATGTTCAACTACTAGTGAACTAACAACTTGAGGAGATTCTTAGAAATTGAGATTAATATATAGATTTGGGGACGTTTTCGAATGATTTCTTCCCGACTATAACGTCAGTTTTACCAGTGACCAGTATTGATGTTTCAGAATCAATGACGGCGATTTTTCACAAACGTGAAGTTTAGAATATCTTCTTCCGTTTATAATTTGACCTTCAATCATACTGAGCATGTTTTCGAGAAACACAACGCAAAGAAAGCCATGTTTTTGGAATGCATGAATTTCACTGCTCTGTTATAATGGATTTAGCGTCTATTCGTAATCGAATAAACTTTGTTCAACAAGGGCGACGCTTAGGCCTTTGCAATAACAAGGGCTCAATATTTCTCATTCACAATCACATGTAGGCCCAATGCAACCCGTCCCCCAGTGCATACAGTGCATACATTGGAAGTTAGTATAATCTTAAATTTTGGAACTTGCGAAGAGAAATAAAAGCAAGTTATTTACGATAAATTCCAATCTGCTTCAATTAATAATACAAAGTGTGTAATTAAACCTTCACTAATGTTTAAAGCCGTATTTCAAAAAGAAATGACATTAAAATAAGGCTGCATTGTGCCTGCAAAATAGTCTTGCGCCATCCCATTCAACAGTTAACAATATAATGATATACATTCAGGGAACTCAACAAAAATGGCCGACTTCGTGAATAAGGCTCATAGTGTAATAAAACGTTACGAATTACTAGATTTATGATGAAAGGAAAGAATGCCAAAGCTGATAAAAACGCAGGTGGTTTGGTACAAGAAATTTAGTGGAAGAACGAGCCCCGGAGAATATCAGTGACGATAAGTATATGAATACCTAATGTAAGAATCTAAGGCTGTTGATAGAAAAAATCCCAAAACTCATAAAACAAAACTCAAGAAATCCCATTCAAATGCATGGTCGGTTCCTGGTCCAATAGTCGGTTTCTTTACGGCTGCGGTGTAGTCTGTGTCATTACTCCAGGCACACCCCAGTTATGACTGCATCCGAGTCTTCTCCTCCAAGCACGATGTTTTGGATGGTCAACGTAAAAACCTTTCTCTTGTATTTGAACTTCTTGGAGTATGGAAGCAATTCGGACAGATCGGACGCTTGGTTTAAATAAAGAAAACAAAATTAGTATGAAAACTGTGCTAATATTTTTCTGTCAGATAACATCACTTAGCAATGCAAACAAAGGGGAACTTTCAGACTGCGCCTCCTGAGAATACCAAGACAAACCAGTTTTGCCGCCTCCAGAATAAGAATCCCTAGTTCCACACCCCTCAAGAGGACCCTGCTTATACGCCACTGAATTAAGAAATGTGAGCGTAAATTATTAGTTCTTCATTACAAACAAAATACAGGAAAGTTAAAGACTGAGCATGAGCTAGATTTTCACCTGATTTTGTCAGCTTTTCTCGCTCGTATTAGTTCATACACTGATTGACATTTAGTTAATGAGCATACACAGCAAAAAGCATAACATCAATTATTTTGTGGGATCGAGAGCAGAGATAGGGGACGGCAAAAATCCTGGAAGACAGGTTGATCCTCCAATAAGCTTGTGTACTTATGACGTCATACTTTGTTGAAGTGTGTTTTTGCTTTGATGCTCAGTGGACCGTGAGCCCCACCTGGCTCCATAGGAAAGTGCACATTGTAAACAAAGTGTGGCGCTGTGAACTTACGCCACGTTCTGCGTACCACCAGTGACGCAAAAGTAGGGCATTTGAGTTGGGTAGATACGGATGCAGACCACAAGTAAAATAGGCCCAAAATTGCACCAATAGGCCCTAATTCCACTGCTTTCGGAACTCTCTTGAATAATTTGAGTGTGAAGGCCTAACTTCGGTGCGCAGATTTTCGGCATATGGGTTGGACTTTTTATGAAAACATCACGTTTCTTAGCCCATTTGAGATATGGCCGATACAGTTGAAGGACGCTGTTTGGGTTGGTGTAATACAGAAGACTTTATCGAATAACACCCTCTTATTGTGCCTGCTAAATCTCAAATTTTATGTGCAGCATCGTCAATGGATCATGATTATTCAGCTAGTTCGGTGTTTATTCACAAGAAATTGCTATTATTCACACTATTGCTATCACTCAGTCATGCATGTACATTAAAGCATTTCAACGAACGACTCTCGTTGAGCTGCCACAGTGGCCTAGTGGATAGTGGAGTGAACTACAGCCTGTCTCAAAAAAAAATATGGTACAATCAAAAACGATTTTTTTTTTCAATATTAAATCTCAACATAAGTAAGTCGTTTTGAGCATCACATTAAAGAAAAAAGACCAGGCTCTCCAATACTTTTTGTTTCATCTCATTTGCTTTTGTCAATCCAGAGATAACTCCAGTTTACTGCGGAACACAAAAATCGAGTTTGTTTCTTTTGCCAAGTTGCAACCTTTTGTGAGCTTCAAGACAGCATGGCACAGTACTCGAAACAACTCTGTCCATGCATAAAAGTGGCACAAACAAACACTATTGGAAAGCCCAGTCTTTGTTCTTTAATATTATGTCAAGTAAGAATGACTTATTTTGAAATTTTATATTTAACCAATTTTGAACCAACTTTATCTTTTGACATAAGAGCGGGTTCGCTCGCAGTCCTTTATACCAAAAATTGCTTGTGACAGATGAATGACTTCTTGAGTCATTTGCGTTCATTCGTGTGTTATTCGAGTAATTCCAGTGAAAATTCACATCTTCCTAGTTGAACACAATACGTACGCTTTCATCGATGAGAAAAATGCATTCAAATGAAATCCGCGTTAAACATGCATTGCTAACGTTTAATGGAATGCAACACGTTCTTTGTGTGTTTAATTTAGTTCCGGACAAGGTGGTAACGTTGTGATCAGTGCGGTTTCACTTCTACTGTCACCTTATGGTTGCCGTTACCGTGTGAAAGCGATTGAAAAAAAAAGCCAAGTCTGAAAGAGCGCCCCCATTTGTCAGATATATGAGCTATAGTTTACCTTTCAGTTCTTCGTCGATGAGGATTTCCATGTCATAGTCGTTCTTGTAGTATTCAAGTGAAACATACAACCCACCGATGGGCGAGTAGTCGATAAACACGTCTAAACGTTAGAAACAAATGAGTCGACATCGATACTAGTTCAATGGATATCACACTCTCCCCAAAAAGAATTGTGCTGCATGATTTGCTAATAATGAAAAGAAAACAGAACCCCATTTAAGAATACACCCACCAAGCCGCTTTCCCGTACAGGGTGAGTCAAAAAGAAAGTAATCGAATTTGAAAAATATTTTTCAACATATTTGACTCGCTTAATTTCATTAGAAAATATACAAATAAAATACATCATTTGGCTTTTAACTGTGCAAAGCCTACTATTGTAATGTGCATAGAATACTATTGGCTATTTCATTAAAACTCGGATGTCCGCCACTGATCATTTACCGTTTTACGAATTGAGCACAGAGGGAGTCAAAACGAAAGTGACCCAGATTAATGATTTTTTTTTCTTGAAAAGCAATCGAATTTGATACATATGTTCGTGCACTCATTTGAAAAAGAGAATAATATTTGTACAAATGTATATTATTTTAGAATATTATTTGTATTTAAATGCTCGTGTGTAATCTGTAATTCTCACTCAGCTCAATAGCTACCAATGGCATTTCATGGACAGCAATAACATGGGTTATTTTAGTTATTCAACATTCATAAGTTGTGATAGCACGGATCAATTTCAGTTCTTCTTTTTTTCCAGTGAGTGGAAGAACATCTCTATAAAGACATGCTTGATTGGTGTATCATATTAAATTGCCTACTCATACAAAAACCTTGAATTCAGGTTACTTTCCTTTTGATTCACCCTGCACACCAGTAATTCCTTACCTATATCTTTTCCAATTAGAACAAAACAACCAACATCCCAACACTCGAAATCCTTCTCTTTACCGCAAGCTGAAAAAAAGATGAAAAGTAACCATCAAAATCAGATACGCCCTCAACGGTCACTATATAAACACCTGCCTTCACAGTCCACTAAACTTTGGTATGCAACCTTGTATTAAAATTCCCAAAGACACTGGTGCTAAATGCCCCTACTTCAAACTTCTTTTATAAATACTCAGAACTCTCACAGGTATTAAGCTGCTCAGAAAATGATGATTGACATGTCATCTAGCTTTCATTTTCTTTTCATTTTTCTTGGCGTTGACCATTAACTTTTCGAGATATTCTCACCCACAGAAGACGATCACTATTTTCTAAAGTTGAAAAGTAGCCATCTTTAAAAAACGATCCCTCCACGACATGGCAAAATAGCGCCACTTTCGAGCCCAATTGTATCCAAAATGCTCAGAATTGGAATCCCAAGTCTGGGCCAGAGGTTCATTGCCATGTCTTTTCAATTCCCCAATTTTATGGCTCTCAGAACTCTCTGATATACACTATTTTGAGGGTAAAACTTTTATTCATGAGTTTGGCGAAAGGATTTGGGCCCATTTACCGGTATGCAGCCTCAGCATCTACAACGTGAACTACTACATTAGCAACAGTCGTCAGTCTCCTTATGACTAGCTTGTGGAAACATCGAGTTAAACCAACTGGTTCTTCTTAGAATCATGCAGTTCACAAAGAGATATCATTCAAATGGTGCAAACCTCCGATTCATTGAGCATGCCCATCATCTTCACCCATTCATTGAGCATGTCCATCATCTTCAAATTTCATAAGTACCATGATTAATTGCACACTAGTCCGAAAATTTGGATCTGTTAGTATTGTGTATCAGAGTCCCAAAACTTAAGTAATAGAAAACATGCAATACAAGAAAGTAGACTGACACCTGAAACAACCAGTCCTGTCCAACAACTCTTTAGTACTTCATCAATCAACTGTCAGGTAACTGCGCCAACAGAAATATCAAGGATGTCGGGTACTACATGTAGATCACTATTTCTACACATTCCTCCAAATCAGGCACCAGACTAATCACAATAAATGAAATAGTTAGGCTTTTCAAACAGTTGGACCATGGATAGACATGTACAAGTCTAGTCTTCAGCCTCATTGTGAAATCACTTGAATTCCCGCTCATGTGCAAGCCACTGCCAAATATTGAAGAAAAGTCCCCTTTTAAAGTTGAATACTGAGGTGCTTCCCTTTGTCCAATGAAAATTGGGGAAATTTGCTGGCTAAAAAGTGAGTAAAGTTGGCCTGATCTTCTTTTGCATCGTTTTGAGCACTTAAGGTCCCAGTCTGATTGCACACCTTCACTTTGTAGTAGACCAGCCTAATGTGGAAAAGTTCTCTAGTAAATAACTTCACGGTATTTTTGGGTAATAGCTTCTATGGAATTAGTGTTGAGTTGCGGGCCCTTCCTTCTATTGTCTATGTTGTGACAAACACTATACACTGTAAATGGAGTAACACTTTGCCCCAGCAAGAAATTTCGTCAATACATCCCTTTCTTAAGTTATTCGTTCAAGGTATTGGGCTTTGTATAATGTGCACGCCTCCTATACTATTCATAGCCTGAACGCAAAAGGGACTCATAGCTATGTCACGTGACAGGGAATCGGGCATCGCTGAGAAGATAACAAAAATGCGTGGACGTACGTATTATGTCCTTAGGGGCAATTAAGAAACGTACCGATACCTATTGTATCCCAAAGATGCGCGCATTCACCTTGTCTCCGGATATCTTGAATTAGTCTCGCCAAACCCCAGTTCTGATGAGCTTCAAATTCACCAAGTTGCTTACTGGCACAGTTACCATGTTAAAACCTTATGGAAAATCGTATGCACAATAATAATGCTGTGATATTTAGCCCAGCAATCAAAATCGGGGGAAACAGAGGTGTCCTTAATTGACCTAATTTTTACTAGTGAACGATTGTCTAGCGTGGGGGACTTGAAAATATTGAAGGAAATTCCAAACATTATTGGAAAAAAAAATGGAAAGAAAACATTTTTTTGCGGGGGGGGGGGGTATTTTCGATTGAACTTATTCAAGTCTCCCACATTGGCCGACCCTTCGTCTAATTTTATGCCCAGTTTACGGACAGCCAACTGGTTTCCCTTTTTGTTTGCCAAGGCCAAAAAAAAAGTCTCCGGTTTCTGGTTTGCGCGCGCGTCGCCGTAGCCATGCGCGTCGGCAAAATGAAAACTTTTTTTTTCAATGAAAGATGATGTCTCAAAACTGCCAAACTCACTGGTTTGACTGGAATCCTGCTGCTGCACAATTTTAACGTCTTTTTAGATTGGTTTATGGTCGAGAATAAGCTTTATGTGGCCTCTCTGGACTCCCATATATTTGCACTCAGTTTAGTCAAGGACCATTTGCAGTCATCAGCCGACATTTGAAGCAAAACAATCAGGTAAAAAAAAAAAAAAAGCCGCGTCGCCGCACCACTTTTTGGGCAAGCTCCATATTAGACACCGGAGACTTTTTTTAGTTGGACTAAGCTAAATATCGCAATGCTTTCATTGTTCACGCAATTTTCCATAAGGTTTTAATAGGGAATACTGTGCTGGTAAGCAACAAGGTGAATTTAAAGCTCATCAATACTGAGGTTACTATGCCCTACTAACTACTCATTCACTTATATGCTTCAGAAAGTGTTACTTAAGTAAGGGTGAGTAAGTAAATTCTCCAAAAATAAACCTTTCAAAAAAATAAAAAAGAGAATATATACCCAAATATGGGAATAAATATATTATACGGCGGGGCTGAACAATTTATGCAAATTAGGTATAGTTTGGCCAAAACTAAGGGTGGCATCCACCTATATTTTTTTCTACATCCTTTGACTGATTGATCTGGCATGGTTGCCTGCTATAACCACAAAATGCCGTCCAAAGTGTAATATTTCACTTTGGCTGGTCTACTATTCAGATAACCCCGAGGAATATAGTTAACAAGGGAAATACAAAAGGGTAAAACCCTTTACAGATATGTCATACCTATATAATTACGTCAAAACACATCGTTTTCATGATCATAAACACTCCTGGACGTTTGGCCCCAATATTCAATACTTGCAACGCATTTAAAAGTCTCAATCCAAAAGAAATCTTGGAAAGAATGTTGCAACCTGTCGCCACTTTGGTGATTGCGTACAAAGTTTTTGGAGGGCTAAGACACATTTCTAAGTACATGAAGTATTTTCTAAATGCAGTCCCGGAATCATGTGTTATCATCACTTTTGCAATGACTGCCCTTCATTGAGATAATAATGAAGAAAAGAGCGGCGTCAGGTTGCACCATTCTTTCCAAAATCTGTAGGCTAATAACCTACCTGGCTTGAGAGCACCTCGTTTGTTGTCTAGAAGGCGGGAGACCAGCTCATCCATCAGTTTGCTCTCATCGTTACGCTTTTGCTGATCGGACACGAAATCGAGATATGTGCACAATCAATCAACATATTGTGTAGTTTAATTTAGTCACAACATGTAGATTGGAGGAAGTTAAAACTCACGGACTAGTGTTTACAAAAATTGAGCGTACATGGAACCAAGCAACAACATGCAGTGGGATTAATTATCATCTGTCTCCGAAACCTCAGATCAGCGGCAGTTGCAAAGACAGACAAAACGGAATCTAATATACACTTTAATATGTGCAAGCAAGGTTGCACCCGCCCTACACTTTATTATCTGTATTTCTTTTGAACAGTGTGAATGCGTATACTTCCAGTGCAGGGCAAATGAAGCAGGCAAATTAAGGGAAACTTGCATGGCTTACTATCCTTTCTGGTTTACTGTATTATTGTATGTGTATTTATTGGGAATACAATTGTGTTAATGTAATTGTTAATTAATTTTAATGGTGATCCGTACTCGACAAGCAGTTGCTTTTTGGAGACTCCATCCACATTTACTTTTCATTTCGTATGATTATACATGTATTGCATAGACACCAAACAATGTGGAAGATGAACAGTGAATGAAACTTACTTCTGGAAACTCGTCGAAGGTGCGACGCTCCGGCCAGGCAAGGGCGACCTGGAAGACCAAGAGGCCTAGAAACACGAAGACGGGAACAGATCGCATCATCATCTTCATCAAGCAGTCAAGACAATCTACAGAAGGGACGAGTAGCTAACTTCACAGTGACGACTGCGTGCACCAACTGATGTACAGCACACTGTAGCTGCAGCTTATAAAACACCTTTCAATGCCAAATTGTGGTCCTTTTTTAACTTTTACACAGACACAATGGTCCGCTGTTAAGAAGTCGTGGATTTATTACGGATGACCAAATCGTTCTTCTTTGTTGATGGCTTCAAATTAAAGCCTCTTTCTTGCGCCAACTCTATTCGACGCTGGTAAAAGCATTGTGACAGGCAGACGACCTCAAGTTCCCATACAATAGCGATTTAATGCTTGTTTTTGTTACCCGTCAAAATGGAACTAGCGCAGACATCATAGATAAGAGGACATAACGTTAGCCTTCTTCTTGTTGACCTGGCCATAAAAAGGTGAAGAAAAGAATGAAGACAGTGTAACGAAATCGTCACCAACACCACGAAGTAACACCCATCTACATACAAGTAATTTAAACTAGCAATATATATTTCATGTAATATGGTATTTCACACGAAATTCTAGAAACTTGACAGGAACCGCCGAAGGATGAATGTAATATAATGTAAGGAAATTGCAGCATGAAGGACACTAGTGCACTGGACCATGGTGTGTTTATTGTTTTTCTCTATGGGCACCGCGATTGCGTGCGGAGGGACTTTCCCTCAATGAGAAATCATTTTGCGGAGAGCTCGAGTGGGCGATCAATGAGAAATTCGGACACATGTAGGAGAATGCTGTACGCTAATGTCAGGAACTCAGGAATGACAACCCTGCTTCCTGTAATTTCGGGGGACTAAAGTTCCAGGAAGTGAGTATTTATTAAGCCAAGATACATAGACCCACTTTACAGCTTCCTTTGATCGTTTTATTTGTGTAAAGTTTGCAGCCACGTGAGGTACAAAATGAAACTTTCTGCGTAGGCCACATGTACATGTGTTTAACCATGTAGTTCTATGTGTTTTTCACAGTACAGAATGTACACCACTCCATGTACATGCATTGAGACATCCTAACACTTGGGACTGACTGACCCTGGGGTAAGGTTTTATATATATTTATTATTATTTTTGAAGACGATTATTGAACTAAAAGTGTGTCTAGAACCCAGATATGATTATGAAACTGTGTATTATGTAATAAATAGGCAATACTTATTTTTTTGTTTCAGGGTTTTGTTTTGGGGTTTTTCTATTCCTACCTCTATGATTGACCAAGCATCCGATTGGTAATAAACCGTAGTGATCGAGAAGTGATGGACTGGTGTCCAGTTTCATCTGTGTTTAATCAAGGACGGACCCCAGCCCTAGAATTATAGTAGGGTAGACCACCACATTAAACGACATCATTCTTTTAAAAAGGAATGTTTTTCAAGTAAAATAAACGTTCCAAACAAAGAACCATTCGGTTGATAGTCAGTCTGCATGGTTCCAATAGCCAAAGATCATGTCTTTTAACACTGTTAGATCAGGGAACAAACATGCCGTGGTAGCAGTTAAACATTGTGTTAAATGTAGCAACTGTTTAGAAACATAAATATTGTGTGCACTTTATGTCCATTCTTATGTTTGAATTGTTCTTTATATAAGGTCTCATCCTGATCCCGGTGCAGTTGAAATGGCCACGGATGCTGAGATTGCTACGGGTGATTGCTACGGGGGCTGGTGATTGAAGACATCCCCTTGACTTGAGCACACTACTTCTAATTTTGTGTGCTGTATCACTTGTACCCGCTGTACCCCAAGCTCTATATCGTACATTACAAGCCATAACTACCCGGCTGTAGGTGCACAGAAAGTTCAGCTGCAAATCCGGTGAGCACTGTGTTTTTTTTTGTTTCACTGGCTACTTGTCACTTGATAACAATGATATGCAAATCCTCGATTTTACATGTGCATAAAAATGCATATACATGTATGTTCAACAGGTTGTCTTGTGTACACCGATGCACGCAAACAGTATTGGAATTCACAGTGTACATGTATCAACCTTGTGTTGGGTCCACTCTTCATAGAAACAGAAAACTTTGAATTGAATGCATTTTCCAATTTACAACGTTCAGACATCCTTAAAAAAAATACAAAATTGGGCATTAAGCTGTAGAATAATGCCTGACCACGCATACACACACGATACAAACTTGAAGTGTTTGTCTGCATGTCTGCACTGCATGCGTATTTGTGAGCGTGAATTTTATGATTTAATTGTCAATACTGACTTTTTGCCGATTCCCAAAACACGTAATGGAAATGTATTTCGAATTCTGTGTTGACCAGGCATGAAACAAATGACAAAACTGTTTGTGATGTACATGCATTTACATGTAAGTATTTTGATTTATTTTCGACTTGTATGGCTTTTGGGTTGCAGGTCTTCAGGATGCTGGCCCGTATCTCTGATGCGGTGCTGATGTGATCATTGCTTTATTTATCGACAGTACCCTCGCTCTGCAGATCATCACGTATGCCATGGACTATGCACCCTGCTCGATTGAATTCTGTGTGCAGCAGCTGGCCCCCTTGTTCATTCAGCGTCCCCAAATCGATCGTGATTGTTTTGACATGTCATGCACAGAAAATCTGTGTTGTTCTTGAAACAAATTGTCAAACCCTTAGACTTTTAAAGCAGCAGTTATGCTGACAAATTCTGAACTGCAAGTCTGTCTAGAATGCACGGATATACATTTATTCCAAAGACGAAAAGACACTCTTCCCATTTGGTGGCCAAAATTGTTCAAAGCTGCCTGGTATTTCAGTCTCTATCAACAATATCGTCTTCTTCATTCATTCATTTTCATGATGATTTGATGAGTTGGGCCCAACTGTCCCTGTCGAGCATAGTGTTGGAAAGAGATGGACCACTCAGACCCGTTTCTAGCTCGATGGATGTTTTCAGGGTCATGTTGGGACGACCTTTTCGTCGAGGGGCTTCAGGATTCCAGAGGAGAACTTGACTAGCTGGCTCATTATGTCGATAAACGTGACCGGCTAGCCGAAGGCGACGCTGTCTGATGGTGGTGGAGATAGGGGGAAGGGCACCATACAGAACAGAGTTAGGGAGATGTTGTTGCCAAGAAACGTTTTGTACAGCCCGCAACATCCGTGTATAGGTGCCATCAATGGATGCAGAGATCTGTTTGGTCAGGGTCCAGGACTCGCAACCGTAGAGGAGGATGGATTCTATTGAGGTCTTGAAGATGTTAAGTTTGGTGGTCTTGGAGATTGAGGATCTCCATACTTTGGTCAGTGAGAACAGAGCAGACCAAGCTTGAGCTTTTCTACACTCGATGTCATGAGCTGTGTTGGTGTAGGAGCCCAGATACCTGAAGTCATCAACTTTATCGAGCTTACTGCCATCTAGTGCAGTGACGTCATCAGAGGTAGATGGGTTGATGACCATGTACTTAGTCTTCTTTGCGTTAAGAGAGAGACCAACGGACTTGCAGCAGGCTTCTACTTTATGGAGGAGAGATTCGGCATCAAGGAGGGTGTCAGCAAACAGACTAATGTCATCTGCATAATCTAGGTCGGATAGGTATTGGGCAGGGTATCTACTACTCCTACGGCGTGCGAGGGTGAGACCATCGGTTACATTTAATGCTGTCCGCAGGGCATAATTCAGAACTATGATGAATAGGTAAGGGGCGAGAGGATCACCTTGAAGAACTCCAGCGTTGACGGAGAACGAATCTGATTCACCTTCGGGAGTGAGAACAACAGCACTTGTATCTTCATACATAATTTTGATGGCATTAATGGTCTCCTCCGGGATACCGTAAGCATGCAGGATCTTAAACTTTGTTGGTCTGTCAACAATATTTAATTGCTTGAAAATGTCCAAAGTCATTGATGAAAAACTGTGGGCTTCGGTTTGGCATACAAATCACTCTCCAGTTCTAGTATGTTATGGGTCAAACATGTTTGCATAAGTATTTGTTGATACAACTTTTGTGAGCCAAATTAAAGCATTTGACTTCTTATTTGGTGGTTTTTTTGTCCAATAAACCAGAATTGAATAGAATAGAATTGAAGTCTGTGTTCCAATTTGCTGCATGACCTCTCACACACTGCGGATGGATGCTGGTTTGAGTAATCATTCTATAATAGTTAGTACTAGCATGGAGCTATGGCTCAATGTGGTACTACATTGTAGTACTTAGCCCTTATATGCTGTAAAAAAAATCATCATGTCTTTTTAGGTCTACTTTGTCAATCGCTGTTTAATTACTTTTAAAAACGATTTGAACAGATCCACATTCTGAAGATTTACTTTAATCCCCATTTGGAATTAAGAAATCATTCATAAAATCAAACAATCACTCTTGATTTTTGCAAACGTAGGTACGCGTACAAATTAACTCACAATATGGCACAGTACATGCAGACATGTACAAAATGTACGTTGACATCGTATCGAATATCGCGCGTCAGAGATGGCTGGTTCCCGCACACGACGCGCGTATTATTAACGAAGGGCACGAAACCAGCGTTGTCACTAACATGGAAAACAAAATTTGTCCCGTACAATGCGGAGTTTTCAGGGGGTTATAGGGTCAAAAGATAAAATCTCTCACACTCAAAATCCACATGATCATGAAAGCAAGGTCAATAATTATTGAAAAACCATTGTGAAATATGGTAGTTGAGCGGATTTATGTTGTAAAATCGTTTTGTTGCTACCCTTTACAAGGCTTCGGACTATGTGAACAACTGTTTTCGCTGTCGCCAAACATCGTTTAAAAATACACTCTAACACGACTTTCAGTCAGCAGATTAAGTACTAAAGTCTGTATTAACACGTTTAAAGTCCAAAAAGTTTGGGAATGCACTAAATGAATGTCGTAGCATTAATATTTGACTGCTGAATTATGTTCGAAATCATAAAAATCATAAATGGGCGCCGCCATGTTTAGCAATGACGTCATCAACGCGTTATGAATAATACATAGCTTCTCATTGAGAAAACTATATTGATGCGTACGGCCTGGGTGCGAAACAACCGTGATTGGTCCTCGAAAAGGACAGGGCGTCAGTTTGCCACGCCAGGGGTTCCGGGGATCTGGAACAGTACACCGGGAGCTGGTTTTTGGGACACCCATCAAAGGTTATTTCTGTCTGGCTGG